ATGGATAGTTATCCCCAAATCCTAAACCCCAAACCCTAAACCCTAAATCCCTGAACCCTAAACCCTAAACCCCAAACCCTAAACCCTAAATCCCTGAACCCTAAACCCTAACCCCTGAACCCGAAACCCCAAACAGGCCAACACCCAAAACCCAGAGGCTGCCCTGGCCGCTGCCAACATCAATGCACACGTGCGGCTGCCCTCTTTCCTCAGGCATGCGTAGGGTTTGTTCTGAGGGCTTAGGGCTTAGTAGGGTTTAATAGGTTTTAGGGTTTAGGGTTTGTAAAATGTTGTTTGAGGGTTGTGCATGGGCTGTCTTACATACTTCGCTGGTACATGGCCTGATTCTGGTGCACACGGCTTCCTAAAAAGCGTATGAAACCCTATACAGCACCATGGAAACCTCCATAGCACTCAAGTTATACTCCGTACGTAAAGGTTTTGAAAACCTTATAGAGTCCATATAACCGCCCCACCTTGATTCACGAACCACCCTAAACCCGAAACCCTAAACCGTCAACCCGAAACCCTTAAACCCTAAACAGTAAGCCTGGCACGAAACCCTTAACCCTATATACCCTCCTGTCTAAACCCGAAACTCTTAACCCTTAAAGCCGAAACCTGAGGACCTAAAAGCCTGAAAACCCAAACCTCACCTCAGCCCCAAACACGACTAACACCGCAAAGAACGCCAAACTTTACGCCCTGAACCCTCGCAACCCTTGCGTTCCCCAACCCCAAACCCCAAACCCTATAAGCCCTAAACCCTATAAGCCTTAAGCCCTAAGCCCTAAAACCCTAAAACCCTAAACCCTATAAGCCTTAAGCCCTAAGCCCTAAGTCCTAAAACCCTACAAGCCCTAAACCCTGAAGCCTTGAGCCCCCAAGTGAAAGGGCTACCACGGCGCTGCACGCGGCGAGCGCCGCCGGCGCCCTGGACGTGGCCAGGCGTCTCTTGGAGGCGCAACATCCCGTTTTAAAGGATCCCTAAACCCTAAACCCCAAAACCCTAAACCCTAAACCCCAAAAACCCCAAAACCCAAAACCCTAAACCCTAAACCTAAACCCTAAAACCCTTTATGGTAACTCTTGTCGGTTCCTTTAAGGGAACTCTGAAGGGTTCCTTTTAGGGGGCTAGGGGTTCCTGTAGAGGAACTCGTAAGGGTTCCTTTAAGGGAACTCGTAAGGGTTCCTTTCAGCGAACTCTTGGTTTAGGGTTTAGGGTTTAGGGTTTAGGGTTTAGGGGTCCGGCACAGGATTCCTTAAGGGTTCCTAGGACTTTAAGGGGTTGCCTTACCGGCTTTATAAGGTTTGGGGTTTGGGGTTTATAGTTCGGAGATACAGATATTCCTCTAAAGGGGACCTATCACATCCAAGAACCCTAAAGAATCCCAGAAAGGGAACCCTCTTATAGAACTCCATGGTACCCTTACAGACTTTATTAGGCTTTGGGGGAGGGTTTATCTAGGGTTTAGGGATCTCAAGGGTTTGGAGAGATCTAGGGGTTTAGGGTTTAGGGTTTAGGGTTTAGGATTCCTTGTAAGGTTTTCCAAAATTGGGCATCGGATCGGTTTCGGCCTGGGTGAAACTTGTACATCCGAGAGCTTAGCTATTCCTTCTGTGTATGCCTGTAGGCTCCATATAGTGGTTCCATTTTGGGACTACCTTGTAGGATCCCCATTATAACCCACAAACGGGAACTATATTGCAGCCTATAGGTATAGCTCGGGTCACTGGTGATATGAGTGCAAAGCCTCAAAACAGTGCGAGGTCTCTGAGAAGGCCGATCAAGACCAATTCCTTGCGAAGCTTGACTGGCCAGCCATGAAGTCATTCAACGAGCGCACACGCAGAGCTGCGAGGAAGACGGGTTCAGAGATTTGGACTTTGGGCACTTTGCCCTGTGCCGGGTGACGGTCTTGTCTCTGTCCTGCATGATTGAGTGCAGGACGTGCCTGCAGGCAACGAGCTCCCTGGCGTCCTGGAGGCCGTCGGCACACGCGTCGGTGGTTTGCAAAGCAGATTTGCAGGCGACTGTGCTGACGCAGCTCAGATTGTCTTCACTGTTGTTTTCGCTAGTGAACACAAAGCCTTTGCCAACATCCACACATCCGAAATCGATGTCGCGCAAGCTGTAACCCTAAAGCCCCAAACCCTAAAACCCTAAAGCCCTAAACCCTGACCCATGCTCACGGCCTAGCATGCGACCTGAGCTTCGTTGGCCCACGCCAGAATTTCTGGCCTTGGGGGTTCAGGGTTTACCCATAGGCGCCATTATAGCTCCCTTTTGCGGGTTTAGGGTTTAGGGGCTCACCCATAGGCTCCATTATGGATGCTTGTTGTGGGTTTATTTTTAGGATCCTACAAGGTAATCCCAAAAAAGAACTACTATGGAGCCTATGAGTAAGGCTTTATTGATGCTGCAGGCAAGTCTCAACTCTTACTCGCTTGGAAGTTCGGGTAGCGCACACGCACAGATCAGCTACGCGCTTCATGTACTTCCTATCTAAAGCCTGAGTCCTGAAATCAAGTTACACCCTTTTTCAAGCCTTGTTTCGGAACCTCAAACCTAAATCCCCTAAACCCTACATCCCTTAAACCCTAAACCCTAAATCCCCTAAGCCTTCTAAACCCTAAATCCTCTAAACCCAACTCTAAACCCCCTGACCCTTTTAAACCCTAAATCCCCCAAACCCGACACCCTAACCCCTAAATCCCCTAAACACCTTGACAATATAAACCCCACACCCGAAACCCTAAATCCCCCAAACCCGAAACCCTAACCCCTAAATCCCCTAAAAACCTTGAAGCCCAACCTCGCAGTCGGCTTAACCCTCGCTCGAGGCACGCGCAGATGTCAGTGGCCGACACGGCCAGCTGCGTGTCGGAGGGCTCAGAACGGGAGAGGAAGGGGTTTAGGGCTTTAGGGTTCAGGGGTTTAGGGCTGTAGGGTTTAGGGCTTTAGGGTTTTAGGGTTCAGGGTTCAGGGGTTTAGGGTTCAGGGGTTTAGGGGTTAGGGTTTAGGGAGAGGAAGGGGCACATTGAAACCTAAAGCATGAAGCCGTGCACGAAAACATACAAGTCCCCAAAACCAAAAAAATAGGTCAAGGTTCCTTTACATGTGGATGTCCAGTACTGGCAAGCCCGAGGGCGTATTGGTTGAGGGTGCATACACTAAACCCTAAACCCTAAACCCTAAACCCTAAACCCTGAAACCCTAAACCTTAAACCCTAAAACCTAAACCCTAAACCCTAAACCCTAAACCCCAAACAGTAAAACAAAGCATTTGGGGTGGATCGGACAGGGGTCAGACAAGACCGTAAGTTCAGATCCTTGGGGTTTAGGGTTCAGGGTTTAGGGTTTAGGGTTTAGGGTTTAGGGTTTAGGGTTTAGGGTTTAGGGTTTAGGGTTTAGGGTTTAGGGTTTAGGTTTAGGGTTTACGGTTTAGGGGAGATTGCTAGTTTTCGATTCTTGCTGTTGGCTACCTTATAGGATCCTACATACAAAGCACAAGAAGGAACTACTATGGAGCCTATGGGTAAAATAGGCTATCCAACTCAACATAGCAGCAACAAGCAAGCCTAAACCCTAAACCCTCAATCGGCACTGAACTGAAGGGTCTGGTACATGAGAACCAAGGCTAAGGCCTGCGAAAACCGGTCCCTAAACCTGTACAAACGGTTTAGGGTTTAGGGTTTAGGGTTGAGGGTCTAGGGTTTAGGGTTTAGGGTCTAGGGTTCCTAAACCCCTATAGGCGCTTAGAAGAAGCCCGCTTTCTATAGCCGCCCGCGCTTATAAAGAAGCCGCAAACCCTAAACTCTAAGCCCCTTAAACTTCCACCCTTACCCCCTAAACTCCGCAAACTGCCCATAGGCTGCATAGTAGTTCCTTTTGGGGACTACCTTGTAGGACCCTAAGTCTACACACAACAAGGAACTATAATGGAGCCTATGGGTAAGGCCCTGACGCCGCTTCATGATGCGGGCAACGCAGAGCTCGCCGGTC